GGCCTGACAGAGACTGGAGAAACCCCGAGAGCATGGCCCTGAGACACCGTTTTAGCTCAGTAATGAAGTCACTTCCTGAGGTTCACCCTTCAGCCAAAGATCATATAGGCCCATAAAACAAAACGAGACTAAATGGGCACTCCAGCTTAGGGGCAAGGATGAGAAGGCAGGAGGGGACAGGAAAGCTGGCAATAGGGAACCCAAGGTCGAGAAGTGGAGAGTATTGACACGTCGTGGGGTTGGCAACCAATGTCACAAAACAATATGCGTACTAATTGTTTAATGAGAAGCTAGTTTGTTCTGTAAACCTTCATCTAAAGTACAATTTAAAAAAATTTGTTGGAAAGAGTAAAATAGCTAAAATTTACTTAGCCCTTGGTGCTCTGTTTTCTGGTAGACAGAGGTTTTTCCTCAGTAACCAAGCTGCTTGAACCAATTTTCTGTTCCCCTAAAAAAAGAAATGTGTTCGCATATTGCTAGACCAAAGGGTTCCCATCTGAGACCATAAACTTCCCAGAGCTTGGGACTTTTCCTACAGCGGGGGCTGTGAGCCTGGCCTACCTGGTTATGCTTTTTCCTCTTCACTGAGGCAACATGGAACGAAAAAAGGGGACAGAGCAATGAGCTAAGATGGCAGCGAAAGAAAGGAGGTGACAGAGGAAAGATAAGTATTCCTTTCCTCATTCATTCATTTATGCATTCATTTCCCAATATGCCTGAACTCCAGCTCTGATCTAAGCCTAGAGCTAGAGGATGGAAGATAGAAAAGATCAGACGGAGTCCACTGGCCTGGAAGAACAAATGTCAAGCAGTAGAGAGAGAGGAACAGGCACAGGGCCACCAGTCAGGGCAACCTCAAAGAAAGCACATTGCACAGTCCAGGGGAGTGGACCGGAGAGGCTCCTGGGAGAAGAGAATGCTTAACCAATGAGGAGTAAGAAAGAAGGAAATGAGAAGCCATAAGGGCATTCCCAGCAGAGAGAACGACACGGAAAAGAATGAGGAAGCTTGTTTGGAAAGAAAGCTGCGACTAACAGTGACAATATGTGGCAAGCCTTGGGCCCCAAGTCTGCCATTTCTATAGGACAGTGACCTAGGACTTCCTGGGTTTGGCTGTAACCAGCTGAGGCTACTTCACTTGAGCAGTAGGTGACACTATAGCAGATGGCCAGCCGAGGCCCACTGATATCTGGAAGCTAAACCCTGGCAAAGAAAGGGAGGGTGGGCAGAGGACAGAGGTTGGGAAACGATCAGCAGCCAGCCCAGGTGACTCTGGGACCCTAGGACCAGTAATTGGGAAGAAGAACCTGTATGCACACACACAGTGAGCCTCTCTCTCCTTCCTTTCTATGGAAAGTCAGCTCATTGGGCTCAAGGCGCAGCCCCTAGTGTCTCCTTAAGGCACACCTCAGGCAGGGCAGCAAGGAGAAGTACTAGGGAGAGTGACTGTGCCATGTCCCAGCCTCTGGTACTTGCTCCCCTGGCTGCAGAGGCTACTACAAGACTCCTAGCTGTAGAGATGCTGATAGCTATAACAGGAGCACAGGCAACAGGACCCACTGGCTAAAGCCATCCATCAGATTTACATCTGGGCAGGCAGGCTCCTCGTCTTCAGTTCTTCTAGAGTTTAGTGGAGACCATAAATATTCCTTAGCTAAATAGCAAGTGAGTGCTCATCAGCATATGCTATATGCAACCCCAGCCCCTAGATAAGCAGAGGTGCAGAACACACAGGTGACTTTCCAAGTATTTATTCAGTTGGCATCTTAAATCTTCACACTTCATATGCCCTAACACAGCTTGAGGTGTCCCTGGACGTGGCCACTAGGGAATTGAGGAAGGGGGTTCCAAGATTGGGTTGCCCCAGGAGATCTTGTGTGGCAGAGGCTGTTCACTCACAGATGGACAACTCGGGGCTGCAGGGGAACTTCTCCCAGCCCCAGACAACCGCCTCGGATGTGGAAATCCCAAAATCCCGAGCCTCGCACCTCAGCAGGGGCATGGCGCACCTCCTTCGCTATCTTTGAACAATCCCAAGCTGACTGGTTCGACAAAGTCTTAAGGAAGAGCCCTGAAACCAGAACCAGGGTCTAATGCTGGTTTCACCACTGATGATGTCAAATCAAACCCCCCTTCTCTGGCCGATGTTCTCCAAAAGGTCAAAGAACCACCATGCTCCACCTGGCAGGTCACCCCTCTCCTTTCCGGCAGGCAGAGCGCTGGTGTAGGGCTTGGGGGCACAGCCAAGGATCAGGCAAGTGACCGGTGCACCAGACCAGGGCACTTTCCGGGCTCCAGCCTCACTGCCACCCTCGATTGTGTGGATCTCCACAGGGTCAATGGATCCCAACTGGAATATGCGGACAGGGCATTGAGAAGGAACGGGAGGTCGGAGAGGGGCAAAGTGGGAGACTCAGGAACAGGAGGGGCAAGGGCAGGTGTGGTCACAGGGTCACCAGGATGCCCAAGGGCAGCACCAGAAACAGGAGTAAGACGAGGAAGCATGCTGGGTCCAGAGAGGAAGCTTGATTCAGCTTATTGATGATCCAGTCTTTATAGTAACTAATTTCCGTATAAACTCCAGGAATTCCTTTTCGACCACAGCCGAAGCCCCAGCTCACAATCCCCACTTGCATCCAGGTGTGGTTAAATTCACAGACCAGGGGTCCCCCAGAATCTCCCTGGAGAAAGAGAAAGAAACAAACTGCAGCAATGAAGGAGGATCCACATCAGAGAGGACAGAGTGCCCTGCAAGGCCCTGGGGGCAGGCACACCAGGGCTTCCCCTGGTACCCCACAGGGCCCTGGGGAATGTGAGACCTGACGATTGACATTTTTTAACAACAACAAAAAATTGTTTACAAACAAAAAAGAACATGTACACAATCAGAAAAAATGAGTCAAGTGCTTACCAAGTACATTGCCTGTCACACAGAGAAATCAAAAACAAAAACAAAAACCCCAAACCCATCGCCGTTGAGTCGCTTCCAACTCATAGTGACCCTATAGGACAGAGTAAAACTGCCCCATAGGGTTTCCAAGGAGCGGCTGATGGATTTGAACTGCTGAACTTTTGGTTAGCAGCTGAGCTCTTAACCACTGCGCCACGAGGGCTCAAAAAAATGGAACTTGTATTGTTAGTATTACCTGCCCATATCTCCCTATTCCCCTCTCCAGGCAGCATCGGCAGCTCTCTCCAGAAGGTCAGGTCAGGCCAGCCCAGGAGAGCCTTGATGGCTGGTCCCCAGGAGTCCCCTTAACTTGAAGAAACAGTGAATGGTGGGCTGTCAAATACCCCAGGCCCTACTGTCTCGGGATGAGGAAACTGGGAGGGGACAATTGAAATGCAGGAATGGCCAGGGGCCCATAAACTGACCTGACAGGAATCTTTCCCACGGTCGTTATAGCCACAGAGAACCCCTTCCCTGACGAATTCCGAAGAGCTTGCCATCCTATCCTGGAGAATCTGATTACATTTCTCATAGCGAATAATGCTTAGCTCAGCCTCCTGAAGTATAAGAGATGACCTGTCCGATTGATCTGCAGAGAACTTAGCAGTGAGTGGATCTGTATAAGTGGGACAGGAGCCCCCAGCACCCACTCTGGGTCTCGAAACAGTGCATTCACACACAGACACCCCTTAGAGGCAGGCAGGGCAGTGGGTATGGTCCCCATGTGACAAAGGAGGAAACTGAGGCCCAAGGTTGGCATGGGGAGAGGAGGAGGTAAGAAGTAAAACCAAGCCCAGAGAAGGCAGAATAGGTCAGAACCAGGCCTCTGCCAACGTGAGTAGCAATAGCAATAGTGACAGGGGGCCTGTGCATCAGTGAAGCGTCTTTACTTTTCAGAGCAGGATGACAGACTCTAGGACAGGTTGCGCCCCAAAGCTACAAAATCCAGCTTCTCCCCAGGGTAGCAGGCCCGACAGCCTCACGAACAGGGGCCCTCTGCCTCCGCCTACACCCCCAGGGAGAGGATGCTCCCCACCCACCAAGGCAGGTACCTCCAGTGAGGGGCAGCTCTGACTGGCAGACAGCTTGTCACCCCCTGAGCTGAAATCCACCCTAGAGAGAATCCCACCATTCCAGGTACCCAGCCCCCGGGCCCTGACATTCCAATAGATATTTATGACACAGTTGTGAAATTACTCCCTGGCAGTATCTTCTCACCCCACCCCTCTTACCCACCTGCTAGAAAATCTGCCTCCCTGGCCCTCTTCCTCCCCCACTTTAGCTTGTGGGCCAACCCAGGGCACAAAGCAGCCTCTTCCCTGGCTTGGGTTTGCTATAGCCCTGCTTCACAGTCTCACCACTTTCTTGTAGTTTGCCCCATCCAGTCACCCAGCACTCCCTATCAGCTTGCACCAGGAAAGTCTTTTCAGGGAGGCACACAGGCTGGATGTGCGAGGAGTAATTCACAGGGAATTGGAGCAGAGCAAGGGCAATATCATTCACGATTCTTCCAACAGCATTAAAATCTTTGTGGATTAGGATGTCTTGTACTGGGACAATGACGGCCATTCTTGATTTATGATGCAGGTGTATGTCTCCGAGCTTCGCCGTGTATTCCAAATGGCTGCAGGGAGAATCTGGAGGTCTACACTCCATTTTCACACTAGCCAGGGCTTCCCAGCCTGGTCCCATCCTCCCATGAGAGATACGCAGCCACCTCCCTCCCTCTAAACCATCTTCTTCCCCAGATCCCTGACCGTTCTAGACCCGTGGTTCTCCAAGTGCGGTCGCCTGACCAGCAGCATCAACATCACCTGGGAACCCGTTAGAAATGCAAATTCTCAAGTCCTACCCATGACCTACTGAGTCAAAGACTTCGGAGGCTGGACACAGGCAATCTGTGTTTTAACAAGCCCTGCAGGTATTTCTGATGCTCATTAAAGTTTGAGAACCACTGATGCAGCCAAATCGTTCTACTACCTTCTATTCCCTTTAAATATCCCTCCTTGTAAATCTTAGCCCACACGCTGTCTCCCAAATGGCATTGCTCCCTCTTCTTGCCACAGTGGCTTTGAACCTGATTGTGGGTCTTGACTTTCTAGGCTACCATGGGCTCTAACATCGCCTACCTCAGAGCAGGGCCTGTGACCCCCTTTTATTCAGATAAGGAAGAGGAAGAACATGGAGGGATATGGAATTATCTCCAAGTCACACAGACTGACCAGGAGCTCAAACCCTGAGCCCCAAACACTCACCCAAATATGCAGTGGGCAGCTGTTAGCACCCAACGATGGCTGATGAGGGAGCCTCCGCATAAATGTACGTTATTAATCTGCAGGCTCACCTGCCAGGGCCACTTCTTCTGTGTAGCGGGTCGTCCACCAACTACCCTCATAGTCGGACGGCCACATCCTGGAGCAGGTCAGTGAAGGGAGGGGGCTGAAAGTAAAGTCTCTGCTCCCCACCACCACCACCACCACCACCACCACCGCCAGGATTGCCCAGGCAGAGCAAGGAATCCTCCGAATCCCCAGAGCAGGGCCCTGGCCCTTCAAACCCCAGGACAAGTCAGAGTGGGGCAGGCTTCCAGGAAAGGATGGTGTCCCCCTGAGACCCTCCTCCTCCAGGGAAGGGTCCCATCGCCCTCAAACCAGGCAGGTTTTCCGGCAGGGCCTGGCCCAGAAACATCACCTGGAGTAAATACTGGTGCCGGTGCGTCCAATGTCGCCGATCGTCTGCTTGGGGTTGACAAGGCCCTGTAGAAGTCACCTGGGGTAACCGACAACAAAGAGGGGTCACCCGCGTTCCCACTGGATCCAGGGACCTCCACGGATGGCGGAGCCCCGACAGGTGGCGGGTTCTGCCGGCTCGCTCCAGGGTGCTGGCGGCTGCCT